TGTGATTGGCCTTAGAATTGACCTGAATCTGTTGGCTTATCCACGGCGCTGGCTCCTGGTTAGACTCGTATTCTACACCCTCATTTGAGTGTGTTGTCTTCAAACTGGCTGGGTCTGCTCCGCTCCAGGTTGCCTCATCTATTCGCCACCCAGAAAGCCTCAATACCTTCTGTTCGAGCTGTGCTGAGTTGCTACCTCTCTGCTCATGTCTCCTAACTCTCCTGCTCTGGAACACGGGAAGTTTGTCACCAATCACATGGCATCAAATTCCCCCACCCGTCATCATGGTGCCCCAGGGCTCTGTGCTTGGCCCCCTTATGTTCACCATTTACATGCTCCCCCTCAGCCAGATCATCCGCCATCATGGACTCAACTTCGACTGCTATACTGATGATACACTACTCAATCCTAAACCTGGGTGTCATCTTTGACCTTTCCTTAAACTCCCACATCAAATCTGTCACCAAATCTGCTTTTTTCACTCTCAGTCAGTTGCAGAAATGCAATGTCCTTGCTTTCGTCACCTCCCGCTTGGACTATTGCAATGGTGTCCTGTTCGGGTTACCCAACAAACCCTGGACAGGCTCCAGTATGTTCAAAACTGTGCTGCCAGGGTACTGACGCACACAAAGCCATGGCAGCACATCACTCCCACCCTCATCCACTTCCATTGGCTGCCAGGTAAGTCCCGCATTTCCTATAAAATCCTCATCTTGACTTACAAGTCCCTTCATGCCCATGCCCCCCAGTACTTATCGGACCTCCTCCACCCACATGCCCCACCCCGACCCTGCGGTCTTCAGATTCTGGCCTGCTCACCACCGCCCGCACCAACCTGCGAACCTTCGGGGACAGAGCTTTCAGTGTGGCAGCCCCCACCCTCTGGAACGGTCAATCGGCCCCTATTTTCGGCCCCTATTTTATTTGTTGTTTCATTTGTCTGACTGTTTGTCTGACTGTTTTTTGTTTACACCTGTTTTTCTGTAAAGCAACATTGGGCCCCTGCAGCGCTTATTAAATATAAGTTATTAATTCATTATTATTATTACACAAGCAGTCTCAGTAGTTAAAATATATATAAAATATTTCGAGTATATGTATATTCTGCAGAGGGATGAGCCGGGCCTGAGCCAATCAATAATACATTTAACGCCTGGAGTTGTCTACTGAAATGTTTCCCAATAATGCCAAATATTCCTCTTTTTTATCTTTTGAGGTTGATATTTGTGTGTGAATACTTACAGTAGGTGTGTTAGGAGAGGAAACCAAGCACTGGGCTCTGAGATGAGTTCTCGGGGGCTTTCCGTCTGTTGGAGAAGCATCATGGAAACGCTGGAATTACAGAGAACAGGGACA